AAACTGGATATTTATCGTGGCTGGCAGGCCTTACGGAGCAGATAAACGCTTCCCTTAATCCTCGTTAACGTGGTAAGTGGCGAATTTAAAAGGCGCAAAACCTAATATTACTTAACCATTTTGCATCGCTTTTAATTTAGATCTACGCACTTGAATATTCCTGGTTAAAAGCCACCTGAGGTACTACCCAATCATCTTTTCAGTTGTGCTATTTTCTTTAGCATTTAGTTTCTCAGTTTAGTAGCAGAGTACTTTGCGGGACATTAGCTAGCCTGCGTAGCAGGCGTTTCCGTTTAGTTTCGGAGCAAAAAAACCAAGGAACGGGATTTTCGGTTTTAACCGCGCGAGAAATGAAGAGAGCCAAAAAATGAAAGAGGGGAAAGGGGGAGGGGAAGGAAGGAAACGCTTGCAGACAAACCCCTAGCCTGCGTAACATGGCGGTTTTGTCGAGCAGGCCGCACGAGCGGCGAAGCGCGCGAGAACGAGCCTCAATCTCCTCGCGGTTTCTCTGCCCTCGCCCGCCTTTATTACTTAGCGCGCCCAACCAAAACCGCCATGCTACGCAGGCTAACAAACCCCTCGATTTTGAAAACCTACGTTCGCCAGCGAACGCAGCGCCTGATTGGCTTGTCAAGTCGAACAATATTGAAACGTGTCGATAGGCTTGTTTCATACTGAGAGGTCATGTATGGTACGTGACACGCATCTTCCTGCAGTTGTTGTTTATTCTGGTCGGCAAGATTTACCTTCCAATGCAAGAGCATTTTCTTTAACTTGTCTTGAAACTCAAAGCTCTTCTTGCGACTATATAAGGGTTTCAAATCGTTTAATTTATTCTCCAAAGTGTCTCCTGGATCTGAATAACTAAAAACGATTTTCTTTTGTCAGGGAATGGGATGGTTTCCTACAATGTTTTGTCATAATGGGCCTAGCTCGTATGTGTTTTTTTTTTTGGCGGGATGTTAAATTCTCTCGTATAGTGATTTACAGATAAAACAAAAACTGAAGCTACATCGACTATGGAGAACTGCATTGTGACTGATTTAAAATTGCTGCTTTGTCCTCCACACGAACGTCATCAGTTGTCGGGTTAGCTTTGTTCTTAGATGCTTTTACAAGAGCACTCTAGTTGTCTGCGCAGTGGCGAGAACGGTAAGCTGTTCTGTCTAGATGAGCTTTGACCTGCATTGATCGTTCGGGTTCATTGAGATTTCATCATTAACGCCGTCCACGCGTTCCAAAATACAAAAAAAGTTATTTTGGTTTCACCCACGCGCCTCTAAGTTTATTTCCGCTCCTCGGAAGGACAAACATTTTGTTGGTCAATTATGACAGCTGATGACAGCATCAAATGTCGTTGAATAAAATCTTTTTTTTACTTAGAATGTCAGATGATCTCAGAAAGCTTAAACTTACACTTCTCCTGTCAAAAAATTGTACTGAATACCCAATTTAATTGTAGCTGGCTTTGTCTACTTTCATTTCTAGGTGGTTGGGTGACTTTACAATTCTCACAAGTTCCTGAAAGGTACTTTGGGCACTTAGCTTGTCAAATGGGATACAGGGTGCATAGCATAAGAAGCCTCCATTTTACTGCCCATCAACAAGGCGAGTTTCCTATAAAATGTATAGCCTGACTTCATTTACTGATGCATTGCATGAACAAACCCTCCTTAAACTAAATGATATGGCCTGGTACAGTGACCTACAGGAAGTGGAGAAAAGATCTGACCTTAGCACTCAGGAGGAGCTCCAGGCTGCCAAGAACCGTAGTTTTTGGTGCACTGTCAGAAATGAGGAGTCGTCAGGGGATCTATTAACCAAACGTCTAACAGCTAAAGCAAGTTTGGAGGCGGGTCCAAGACAAGGACGGACCACTAGGGAGGTAGAGGTAATCTGGTGGCCATGCAGATCTCTACTCCACTAAAAGAAATGGAAAACTTTCAATAAGATTCTATATTAAAAAAGTAACTGTTGAAACTTCTTTTTAGGTGGACTTCACTTCCCTGAAATATCTGGAAAGTTGTTTCTCTTCCATTTTTTACCTGCAAAGAGCAGTGTTAATTGTCAAACTTCCTTGTTTGACCTGTACAGAGGTTTATTTTGCCTTTTTATTCTTCTCTGCCTCTTTGNTTTCCTATAAAATGTATAGCCTGACTTCATTTACTGATGCATTGCATGAACAAACCCTCCTTAAACTAAATGATATGGCCTGGTACAGTGACCTACAGGAAGTGGAGAAAAGATCTGACCTTAGCACTCAGGAGGAGCTCCAGGCTGCCAAGAACCGTAGTTTTTGGTGCACTGTCAGAAATGAGGAGTCGTCAGGGGATCTATTAACCAAACGTCTAACAGCTAAAGCAAGTTTGGAGGCGGGTCCAAGACAAGGACGGACCACTAGGGAGGTAGAGGTAATCTGGTGGCCATGCAGATCTCTACTCCACTAAAAGAAATGGAAAACTTTCAATAAGATTCTATATTAAAAAAGTAACTGTTGAAACTTCTTTTTAGGTGGACTTCACTTCCCTGAAATATCTGGAAAGTTGTTTCTCTTCCATTTTTTACCTGCAAAGAGCAGTGTTAATTGTCAAACTTCCTTGTTTGACCTGTACAGAGGTTTATTTTGCCTTTTTATTCTTCTCTGCCTCTTTGAAATGTATGCTTGATATAGATATCATATTATTCACTAAAGTGTAAGTTGAAAAGAGCATAAAACACTAACCTTGGGAGACAATAGTATCTATGGGAAGGTGTAGTCATTGTTGAAAATAGAACATCAATTTTTTATACCAAAACAATGAAACTTCTTCATACAACTTTAGTAAGACCACAAAAACAAATTTTACCTTATATAGACACTAACTAAACAGACATGCTATTTAAATCTACTAAATAATGTTTTTGCCTGTTAGAGGAAATTGAAAAGCCGATATGAATTTCATATGTATTTCAGTGATTTTGTGCTTAATTTGTAGCAAGTTAATGTTAGTTAACAAATCAGTAGCTGCTTTTACCAGCAAAAAATCAGTTTGTGCTCAACAACACAGCTTTTAAATCTGCAGTTCAATCTTTGCTGAAAGTAGGGCACAAAGATTAAAATGATAAAGTTTAATGAACACTTACTGTTCTACTCGTGATTGGTCATTATCTTTAATACATTTGGTGGCTCCTAAAAGAGCCGTTTGTTTTTTGTCACCTCTAGTCAGTGCAATGTCAAACTCCCTGGTTTGACCTGCAGGATTTTTTTTTTCATTCGGTTCTTCATTGGAATTTTAGCTGGACATCAATGCCATGTCTTGTTCCTGAAAACTTAAAAAAGAGCAAAGCTTTGAAACAATTAATTCAGTGAAAACTGGGTTGCATCACCTCCGCAGTTTGAGCGTGCCACGTGTAAACCTTAAGAGGGAGTGGAAACCCTTACAATAATATTGTAAACAGCATTTCCATTAATATTCTAATAACAAGTATCTTATTGAAAGATTTGAGAAAATTAATTCAGAACAATAATATTGTTGAAAGCAGTTTCATTCACAGTTCAAGAACAGTATTTCTGAAAAATTCACTTAAAATAGGCAGACAATTTACAATGGTGATATTTATACGGATTACTTATTTCCATTGTGTAAAACGATAAAGAGGTCTCTGGCGATGACTCCCCATGTCATGAAAACTCCAATAAAAGTGAGGAATTCCATTGTCTGCAGGGTTGTCTATGAAATCAAAGACTGCCAAGATCACACCAATGCCACAACTAGCACAACATCCCCAAATAATGGCTGTTTGGGCATTCCAAACCGCTAAATTGGAAAGGTGATATTCCATTGGGTTTCTGATACAGCCTTCAGCAGATTGTCAGCCAATTCAATGATGTTGGTAGGAGGACTCTGTTTTAAGCCATCATCATAGAATGCTTGCTTCTGTGCCATATTTAGGCAAAGGAGACCCCACTGGTCGCCATTTACGTGGATTGGAGTAAGGGTCCACACAACATCATTAAGATCCATTCTTGAAAGGTAGGGCTTCAGCTTTGTTTGTAGAAATTGCACATTTCTGGTTAAAGCCCAGGTTTGTGTAAATAACGGTACCGGTAGATACAAGGAATCGGAATTTTTTGGCATGGGTTCCTCACTGTACCTCAAACATGCAGCATCAATCAAAAAGCCACTTATGTACCTCTCAGCAGCTAAGGTTGAAAGGTCTTCAGCATCAACCATCACATCACCAATTCTAAGGATTTCGTCTTGAGGTTCACTGTCAAAAAGCAAATCCCTAATTTCATTAATCTGCTGAGGGGTTAATGTGGTGCTTGTAGTTTTCATCCAATATTCCTCTTCTTGGACTCTAAACTTAATGGAGGAAGCTTTTGGATGCTTTCATCCAAATGTCTAGAGCTCTGCATCTGCAAACTTGACTGCAGTGTCGAAATCCTCATCATCACTGTCTTCTCCAGTAACCGCATCCATCAGTCTATAACCCTTAGTGATTGCTGATTCTAAGGGCCTGACTGGGGACTGCAGAAGATTTTTAAGACACCCAGGATCAACAACCAGCTCGATGTCATCATCTGGAATTTGAATTACAGGCGGAAGATTAAGGGTAGCAAGTTGGCCTCTAGTGGAACAATCATTTGCAGCACAAATTCGTAAATCATAAATAAACAAAGGTTCTGATGGTTGAGGAACAAAGGCAGTTTTAGTATCCACTGTGACACTGGACGAAGGGCTGCAACTAGTGGCGGGGCTTGATGAGAGGCTTGTGGAAGAGCTGCAGACTGGGCTAGTGTTGCTAGAAGCTGGGCTGCTAGCTGGAATGGCTTGTGGACTTTGTGGCTGTTCCGGCAAGGAAGTAAAACTGGTCAAAACTGTAGGAAAGAGCTGCTCCCACAGTGCATGATCATATTGATAGATAGGTAAACAGTCGGGTGATATTACCACTTTTTAAACCTTTGTCAAATTCATAAGAAAGAGCATCCCCGCCAAACATTTTGTTGAACAAGTCATTCATGGTGAAACTTCAGGCCATGTCATCCTTTGATCATCTTTTTTTCTGGACCAACCGCAGCCTCTAGAATGGAATGGTTTACCTGACATACAAAAAAAAAACATTGGCATTGGCAGAATAATGGAACCAGTCACAGTTAAAACAACAACAACAAAAAAGATTTTAACAGACTGTGTTCAATAAGCTCTAAGTTTTTATGTGGTTAGTTTTCTACTGCTCAAGAGGAAGAATGACAACATATTAATGTTATCTCACCTGATTCCAGGTAGAAAAAGTTAAAGTGCATAGTAATGTTGTCATTGAATATAGTGTATGCTCTTTATAGGAATACACAACTCTCAGTTTTTTACATAACGTTGTCTCAACCAGGGAGAATACATTTGACTACACATCTAAGGGACTGACATAAAAAGAAGTTCCATTATATAATGTTTCTAGCAGGCAAACATTTTAGAAGATAATCACCATTTTCCATGCTCTCTATAGCCATTCTGAAGCAAAGCCACAGGAACAGCAACTCTTCAGAAAAGAAATGTTGCAAAATCTGTTGGACTTAATATATGAAATAAAGTTGATTATTCAAAAGTGCCAAACTTCAATACCAACAAAAACATGTGATTAAACCAGACTTTGCCTTTTTCCCCAATGGATTCTAGTTTTCACACAATAAGATACATAATATTCAAGAACATGTACAGTTTAGCTCCCAAAAACTGATATTTTACTAATATGGTATGCCTTGAACAATGACTTCAATACTAACTGTAAATTGGCATTTAAAATTTCAATAAAGACCTTTAGCATCAGGTTTTTCATGCATGGGACACTGCANTTTTCCATGCTCTCTATAGCCATTCTGAAGCAAAGCCACAGGAACAGCAACTCTTCAGAAAAGAAATGTTGCAAAATCTGTTGGACTTAATATATGAAATAAAGTTGATTATTCAAAAGTGCCAAACTTCAATACCAACAAAAACATGTGATTAAACCAGACTTTGCCTTTTTCCCCAATGGATTCTAGTTTTCACACAATAAGATACATAATATTCAAGAACATGTACAGTTTAGCTCCCAAAAACTGATATTTTACTAATATGGTATGCCTTGAACAATGACTTCAATACTAACTGTAAATTGGCATTTAAAATTTCAATAAAGACCTTTAGCATCAGGTTTTTCATGCATGGGACACTGCAAACAGGTCTCAAATATGAGAACAAGTGGTCTTCTGGTCGCGTTTGCAGTTCGCAGTTCGCAATTTAAGTTTTAATGGCAGGAAGGGCTTACAGCAGTAGGTGACTTACAGCAATGTTTTTGCCACTAACAATAATATTATTGTTCAGCCTTACATTTAAAAAGCAGCTTTCTACACCACCCTCTGATGTACTAGTTAGAGCTGGTGATAAACAATGAATGTCTGCCTAAATTTCAAAATCCAGGCAAAGTGAAACTGTAAATGGGTGACTGCAGACTGCAGTTTACAGTTTGCAGTATCCCATGAAAAACTGATGCTAAAGGTATCTTTAATACCTATGGATATTCTCCAACAGGAAATTATTTTGCTAACGATGAAAGATCTTAAGATTAAAGGATATTCAAAACGAGATTTAAAGTTCAAGGATTTTCAATTGACTGAAGCTAAAATTCAAGAGCTTTTCATATCTTTATGAACTGTGCATCATCTGTGGTATCACAAAACAATGTGAAAATGACATATGATGAGCTTCCTAGCCTTTCTACAAAAAGAGTTGTTAGTTCAGTTCTAACAATATTTAAGTAGGTGACAATATTAGTTTCAAGTACTGTAGTGTTGAGATGTTTGATAATATAAAAAATAAAGTACTAAAAAAGTAAAATATAAAACTAACTTGATGTAGCATGACCATGCCTGTCACAGGAAGTAGCCTTTGAATATAACTGACGCTGTAATGAGTGTGCTGCCTCAAAGCCTTGATTTGAATACCCCCTCAAGCTGAGGTGGTTTCTAAACAGCATGCTGGTATGTTCAATGGTGATGTGGCCATAATCACCAGTGCCCAGGTTGCAGTCAAACACTTCCCGTAAAAGGAATCCCCATTTTTTGCACTAAAAGAAAAAAGAGGCATACTTCCATGGGTGTTAAACTGCCAAAATCAACATTGAAGACTGTGCAGTAACTGATGGGGGTTCTAAAATACAGGTAACTTTTCCACCGGTCAGAGTACAGTTCACCATGATACAGACAAATGAATAGCATTAAAAGTGTTTGCAAGCCCTTACACTTAACAAAATGCTCTATTAGATAGAGGGGAATCTGTGTGGTTTGGCAATTCATCTATATGGAGCAGTGACATGTACTTCTTACCTGTGGAATGTGACGTGTACTTTGTGAATATCTTAAACATTTTACGAGAGATAAACATTTTACTTGTAAAATTAATGATAATGTATGTGCCTCATTCTATAATCAAACTTTAAGTATTGTTTAAAAGACCAGCATGAGTGTATTTCCAGGTTCTGATTATAAATGAATGCAAATTTTTTGAATGGCTTCAAAATCTCTGATATAGATCTTGTACTAATATTTAGATCTGTTTTTTTTTAATCTAAAAAACTGGATGTAAAGTTTAGCCATACCTTTGTCAGATAGACACTCATTAAGCATTTCTTTCTTTTGTTTTTTCTTTATGGATTATTAATGAGTTTTTGAATGTCAGTTAAAGTGACTAGAAATTATTTTTGAATTCGTTTCTCCTCATGCAATGGCTTTTAATTGCTGGTCTCTGGTGAAAGATTTACAAGAAACTCCACTACAGCTGTATTAACCTTCTTGTCTAAATTTATTATTGTAATAGTTTTAGACATTATGCATATTTTACATTAAGAGGACTTCATTTTCAATTATGGTACTTTACACTCTTACTAAAAGTGAATTACTTGACACATACCTGTATGTCAAAAATGTCAATTAAATCTTGCTAATCTTCCTCAAAGACACTACTTCTAATAACTTCAGAAATGTCTTTCCAGTCAGTGTAAACCTGAACCAAAATGAATAATTATATGAAAAGCCCAAATTACAATCTGAAATGAGGTGTTTTAAATTAAGGGGAAACTGCCCATCTCAGTTTTTTTATAAGAGCATGCAGTGACCTTCCCTTGTGACCTGTGTTTTGTAACTGCCACCTTGTTAAAGTTAAGAATTTTGTTCAAAAAAGAAAAATCAGCTTGACTACTTTTAACTTAACGTGTCTGGATTTTGCCCCATTAATCTTATTAATTCTCATAAAACTGTCCAATGTGTTTTCCAATTAGGGAAAAAAAGACTTGATTATTGGATTACCTTTAAAAAAAAAATTGGTAAAACACTTCTGCTGCATAATCAGATAGCTGAGAAAGATCAGCATTGTCCACCTTCTGCCTTTTCTTTCCTCGTTTCCCTTTAGCAACCGACCCACCAACACACTTCTCTGACAGCTCCACATATCTTTCGATTTCACGTAGCCTGCCCTGCCAGAATTCCAGTCTTCTTTGAACTTCTTTTCCAGTTTCTAAGGAAAACAGGTTAGGTAGTCACATCACGAAGTGTAAGGGGTCGTATTCTTTGTAAGGGAAGACTATTATGCAAGAACGCAATACATGCTAAGGAACATTCACTCAGTTGGGATGCAGTAATCTGATGCAATAATGATGTACCCTTGATACACAATGGTCACGTCATGGGGTTGTATTAATACTAACAGTGCTAGCTAAGCCTATCACAACTTCCAGTGTAGATGGATGTAAATGCAGTCATTAATTCAAACTGCCTGGTTTATCACTGTCAAACGGAAGGAAAGGTTGTACATGACAGTATAATGACTGTAACATGTACCTGAACCTGTGAGGGTAATAGTCTCCTGCTTTAAACCAAAGTCTCTGGTGAATGTGTCTGAAATAGCCATGTCCTGATAGTACTAGAACAAATTACTAAAATTTCATTGAATTTTAATAAACAGAAACCATTTTTTTCAGTGTATATGTTTCTACATACTACACATGTATGTTTCTACATACTACACAAAAAAATATTATTGTGTGTTGCACTGGTTTAAGTGAAACATTCAAATCAGTTGTAATATCCTGAGCCATACCTTGATTCTATCATTACAAAATGTGACTTTATTCAGGAGCGCCTCTTTAGCACTTTCTGGATCAGCAAAATATGACTTCAATTTGTCATGAGGCAAGGACCAGGCCGGACAATCGTTTCAATGTTTGTGAGGAACTCACGTTCAGTAGAACCTTCAGGAAAAATAGTATGTAGAAAGAAACAAACAGGATTTTAATTCAGAACTTAATGCTTACATGACATCTACATTTACAAACCAGTGTTACAGTTTTCATATCAAGGATCAAGGTATTGTACAAATGAAACTCGCGCAGCTGCTACAGCACAGAAGTAAAAGCCCTGAAGTGGATAAAGCGAATGAAAGCAATCATGACAAAGATGAAACAAGATAGAAAGTACCTGAAAATGAAGACACCTGGATGTTGTGCTTTTCAACAGCAGTTTCTTGGCCCCCTTTCAACTTCACCGTTATTCTGCTGCTAAAATTCTCAGGGCCATAATTTACCAATTCGTCGTTACATTCATCAAGAGAACCCACTTTGTAAGAAAACAAACCCAATGATGACAACAGCTGTTCAGTATTTCTAAGTTCGCAGTGAAGGGCGCAGAGATTTATCAAGAAGGAACTCTAAGTCATCACGGATGCCTTTGAAACCATAAAAAAGAAGATTTATTATTTTGTTAGTTGTGGGGGATATCTCCCCTAAAGTGGTACTTTACAGTTTTATAGATTTCAAACTCAAGTATTTTACTCAACAGGTTTTCAGTCTTTTATGACAGTGCCCCTACAACATTGACACACCTACAGTAAAGGAAGACTATGATATATTATAATGGGAAAATAATATGTGCTCTCTAGGAAAACAAGGCAAGGATAATTGCCAACATTTTACAGACAGGGGCATATAAACACCATGTTTGTCCAAAAAAAGCTATTTGCAGGTTGCTTTTCCATGCAGTGGAACTTCCCTTTTTACAAAAGGCAAGGCTTAATTTACAAAATATTATTGCTAAAATGAGGTCTATATAAAAAGTTAGTCTTTTATAGAAAACATACTTATTAAGCTATAAATGCTGGGATGACGAGATTCACTCACTATACCAGGGAATTTATTTTTTTGAATAGAGGTTAACTGTATTGAGATAACCTTGTTTTGAATGCCTTTTATAATTAAGTTACTGTGAATTCAAAATGACAACTACAGTACAAATGCTGAAATTCATGAATAATCAAGGGCTGCGCGCATGCCTCAACAAGTATCATCGGAGAATTCTTAGTAAACCAAAACAATAACTAAATTACCCTCCAATATTGGCCTTGGACATGCTAAAGTGTTCCAAACAAACTGTATGGGGACCAAGATAAAAATAGCAATTATTCATAGCTAGTTTTTACTAAGAAATTTTACCCAGCAAAACTGAAAATCTAATAGTACTATATAGGTAAGTTGGTCATTGGTAAGGTAAAAATTTGTTGACTAAGAGATTTTGAATATATCCACATACCCTCAATGCTTTGCAGATAAAGCAACACTCTACTTCAGTTCCTCGTTTCCCAAGCTGAAAGTTTGCTTTCCCTATTTGTTCCAGCAAAAGATAGAGGGCCTTCAGGTCAAGTATAACTGTAGATATATATCTTTAAAAAGAGGTCAATGTACATGCAGGCATTAATGGATTGAAAAATTTATGGTTCTAAAAAGTACCTTATTATTTATTATGTGAAACTTACCTTTAAATCTCACAGCATATAAATGCACTCCATCCACTGTGATTCCATTCTTCTTTAGTGCATCCATTTGTTTGTTGACATTAACAAACAGCTTTTTTAGTTTTTCCCTAATAATAATAAAAAGTAAAGTTACAGGGAAACTAAGTTATTACTAAAATGAAAAAAAAAAGGAAAAAGAGAAACCATACTGCTAGTCTAGTCTGCGGCAGATAGTTCTTAAGACTTGAAAACATAAGGTCGGGTTTGAGTGGACCACTAATCAAATTAAGACCTTTGTGGTAAAATTTTCAAAAATTATTGTTTTAACTGCGGGGCCTTTAGGCCTCATACAATAAATTTGTTGTAAATCCGCAAATTATTTCAGCTTGCAATGTATAACTGGTCAACAACCAAAAATTACACAGTCAAAAAGGTACAATAAAAATTTTCACTAACGAAACTAGTTATTTTGGAAACAAATAACTATTTGACTAATGAATCAAATTTAAATACAACATACCTGTCTTCCTTACAATTAGCAATAGTTAAAGGGCACTGTGATTTGCAGCTCTGATTAGACAGGAATGGTGTGTCTTTGGGGACTACACCCATTAGGACCTGACTGCGCTCTACAAATGAAAGGAAACAAAAAAAAAGGCATTTCAAAAATTTAAGCACCACTTCATGAACTAGAGTTCAAAGTGTTTGGTTATGTTTACCCTGCCACTTTGATGTTACCCCCCCTCAAACTTAATGCAGACACCAGTATTCAAAGCTCATGTATTTTCTCAAAATTTACTCCCTAATACAAATAATTATGGACAACAAGCTTTAAACTCCCATATATTATATACCCTGCTTTACATTATTTTATCAGTCTACACTGTCTATGACTGAACATCTTTCAAGTGAAAATTATGGATAAGGAACGGTAAATGTTTAAGAATACTGACGAAAAAGGTTATTTCAGTCCAAGACTACACCCATGATAAAAGATCACAGGGTTTCGTTAGGATGAACTTGTTTCAGTTACAGTTAAGAAATAATTTGGACACTATTGTATTTCCCTTGGTGTCATAATTTTTAACCCAGTTTCACTGTTGATTTTGTTTCTATGTTTTTCTGTCTTAAGTGCAACACATGCAGTTGTTGCAAAATACAATAAAGGAATCTGGAAATAAGGTACACTGTATTTACTAAAGATTGTGTTCTCACCTGCAAATGACCTACCATCAAGTTTGAGGCTTAGGTCAACTATTTCTTTCTGCACACCATGTAATCTCAGATCCCTGATAATCCATGTTAGGGCACTTTCAAGAGAAAAAATCTTGTATTTGGGTGATGTAAAAGAGGCTTCGAACTTTATCAAACACCATAGACCGAAGTGCCTTTATGTTGCTTTTGGACAACAAGATCAGAGTGTCTGATGAGTTACTAAAAGAAAAGAAAAAAAGATCAAACGTACTGACACAGTACCCCTGCCTCTCCCACAGAAATGGCCAATTTTTCTTACACCCCTCAGAAATTTTGCAAAGATCAAAGGTGCCGTAACAGTCAATCCCCTTGGAAAGGACTTTCAAAGCCCCCCCCACCCAACAGAAAATCTTGTCGATAGTGGGGGGACTGGGAGTGGATATTTGAATGGAATAGACCACAATTCATTTATGGTTAGGGGGATTACTTGGTAGTTCTAGCAAGCTTAAAGAAAACAACAGCAACAACAACAACAACACAAACAATGCTGGTCGGTGCCTAACTCACCCCGCTTTTTCCAACTCGAGTCCGATTTAAGATCATCTGCCAGGAATCGTCAGATATTGTTGATTCCAGCTTACAAAGAAGCAACATCCAATCTGGCACAGATAACATTTGTACACGCTGGTTCCACAGCTCCTCACATACGAGCTCGCAGAATGCCTTCCGAACCCCCAGCTCGTTCGCTACTTTAATAAACACATGCCAAATGAGCTCCTGCACATTGATCCCATTGAAAGTTTTCTTACGCTGAAACAGGCAGCTTTGTGCAACAACGTCCCCTAAGGTTTCTCCCCGCTGTAAACATACAGATTCGACGCTTCTCATTACAGCTTCCACCTTTTGTCTGATCTTTCTCTTCTTATACGCAGAACCAAAATTTCCATTTAATAACGAAGAAGTTGACGATACAGATCCGAGGAGTCATCACAGGAACTTGAAGAAGACGTGTCAACATCAGTGGTCAAGGGGGGTTTCAAATTTTGGCGGGCTTTGTCTTCGTGGAGTGGAGCATTTTGGCGGGCTTCCCGGAAAGCTGCTTTCTAAAGATAATTTCTCCCCTTTCGATTCTTGAGGACTTTCTCCCTCGTCATTTTTAGAATCTTTGTCTGTACTAACGCAGCATAAATCCTGAGCGGGCCTGTGATCGATGTCCGATTCTTTCAAAACATTCTCGTTGATGGTCCGCTTCAGCGACAAGAAGGCTTCTGATTGAAGAAATTCCGATTCTGACGGGTTCCTAAGGACTAAATTACAGGCAACTACTGCAAATGTACTTCCAACGTAAACTTGATCAGAAGAATTTTGCCCATTTAGCTTATTGAACCACTGGCTTGAGACAGGGCAGCCATTTTCATCGTGCAGATCAGCAAAATACACACGAAGAAATTCATCGGGAAATAGCTGAAAGAAAGAACCCTCGCTGAATTTTCTTGGCTGCTTACCACACAAACGATCATTCAACGCGTACCATGTTCTCGATCTAACGATCGAGAGAAAACACGAAATAACATGGTAGTTACGAGTGGAGGGGGACAGGGGGGCGGGAGCCCGGGAGAACAGGGGGCGGGAGGGGTACGGGAGACGGGAGAAGAAAGGGCGGGAAGCGGGATCTCTAAGATGGCAGGAAGCGGGAGAGAAATTCCAAAAGGCAAGCTTTCGCTCATCATCCAGTCAAAGAAACGAACGTAGCAACGTTTCTTGACTTCCATTTAACGTTCTCCGAGGCCCTAAATCAAAATTTTAATGCGAGAAAAGTCAAAAAACGTAAATTCGCACTCAGGATAGAAAAAAGAGCATTACTTCCGGTGAAATTGGAAACCTTTCCAAGTCGGTTACATCATAGGTCACGAGTCCTCATGAATGAGGTGGCGTGTCACATGTACACGTGTGTCGACTGTGTAAGTCGTGTCAGTGTCTCGTCTGTTTGACCTGTCTCGCAGGTAAAATGTCGTCAAAGACCATTTTAATCGGTCTAAGTATTTTTCGGTGTTGTGTGGAAAAATCCGTACGTGGAAGACCTTCTTGGAAGCTCGCTCCGTACGATTGTAGTTTGCAAAACACTAAAGATTTTACGGCTGGTGCAAACTTGTGTCCAGGGAATGCAAATTCAGTGATCGCGCTGGAGAGTGCGGAGTGGTTAGATCAGGACGTTACCAATCGATGAAACCGATTATCGGAAAATCAATCGATCAATCGATGACAATCGATGCCAATTAATCGATTGATATCGATAATCGATGAATAATCGATGCTCGGGTTTTATGTGATTATCGATTTCATCGATTATTAATTCTTATCGATTATCAATGCCAATCGATCAGTTAATTGTCATCGATTGGTTTTCATTTTTGATGCGTTTTATTTTCAGTCAAGATTTCCAAAAACACGGTCTCTTTATGCATTTTAATGATGAAAACTGCAATAAAACTTTAATTTTTTTCACAACGGTGATTGATACATCGTGGAGAACATGGGCATACGATTTTATGACAATATCAATTTTCAATTAGG